GCACGTCTACGCCAATGCGCGTATTCGCGCCCTTCCTTGCGCCCGTTTGTTGCCCGTCTCGGGACCATCTTCTCGCACGCTCTTGCGCATGTTACCACTTGTCTGTTCGCATGTTCACGGCCATCCCATGTGCGCGTTGTCCACCCAACATCCACCCCTCGCGCACCGCTTATCTCTTCCGTAATGTAAACACCCAAGGCCTTAGCCTCCAAATGTCGTGCGCGTCGCTTCCTCGCGCACGCCTTGCACCCGTCGACCGCGTTACTCGGGCCCACTATTGTACATTCGGCCACGGCCCATTGCACATAGTCTTTCCTCCATTGCCCTAATGTTGCACGCCGATGGACTACCTTCTCGCGTGCCTTTGCGCACATCCATGCGCTCAGCCCTTCAAGCCTTGATCTCCCGAGCCTCTTGCTCGACCTCCTATGCCATTGTGCACGTCGGCACCCTCGTATACGTGCTCGTGCACGTCTCCTAGGCCATGCAAGCCTTGTTTATGCCCTTTGCTCGGCCTTGTCCATTAGCCTCGGCCCTCGGCCTTTCTCATCATCGAGGGTCAAAACCCACTTCCGTATCATTCCCGCCCCCTTTAAGAATGTCCTTGTCCTCAAGGACTCGTCATCGATCATTAATTGGGGCGTTCTTACTTCGTACACTACGTGGGCAATTTCTTCCTTAACCACTGAAATCTCCAGCACACCTTCTTCACTCTCAAGCCAAATCTCCTCCTTTATTCCAATCACTTCGGCTTCATTGGACTCGCCCAAAATTCTTTCGACCTCAACAAAGTGTTCATCAGGGTACACATCGAAAATAGGCGGCCCTTCATAATCCGTCGACTCATTCACGTACTCGATGGGCCTTACATCCTTAAAATATTTTGAGAATTCAAATGGGAAGATAGGCTCCTTACACTTTTCATCGATCCTGCCTTCTTCTTTATCGGACTTACTTAGTACACGATCGGTTGCTCTAACCAACTCGCGTTTCTTGAATTGCTGCTGCTCGATCGCCCAAATCTCGAGCACCTCGCCTTCGACCTTGGTTTCCTTGATCTCAGCCTCCTCGACTACTTGGTCGTCCATGAGTTCATCCTCGGGGTACGCGTCGAAGATAGGTGGGCCATCATATTCCGTCGAGACATGCTCGACCATGCTCGCGTATGCGCCTACTTCCTCGACGGCAAAAATCTGACCGCCCCATGCCAGACCCGCTCAATACTCTTGAGACCAAACTCCTTGGCTCTTCTATCTTTGCTTGCTTTTAACGTGACCCGGTGCTCTCCTGAGTCGAACTCCATGACTCCCATCCGGTAGTCGGTGGTCACCTTTCCTAAACCTTCGAGCCATTGTACTCCTAACACAACGTCGGGTCCAACCAAGGGTAGTGCATAGAGATCAGCTTTGATGGTGACTCCTTGAAATTTGATCGGTATCGCACGGTAAGCCTCTGAGCACTTTAGCTGTTCTCCATTGGCTACTCGGACCTCAAATGGTTCGACCTTCGTCGTTGGCAACTTCAACTTTCGAGATAGATCGGCGTTGATGAAGTTGTGCGACGATCCGTTGTCTACGAGCACGACTACACGGCGGTCCTTGACCAACGCCGGCAGCCGCATTGTCGTCGGTCCTCTTGTACCAGCTATCGCATGCATCGAGATTTCGGCCTCCTCTTCGGGAACCCCAATCTCGACTTCTTGCTCCCAATCCTTCTCGATCTCGGGCTCTTCCTCATTCGGGTCTATAACGTGGATGACAAAAGCCTGGTTGCATCGATGGCCAGGCGTAAACTTCTCGTCGCACTTGAAACAGAGTCCCTTCTCACGTCGGTGTTTTATTTCCTCGGGCGTCAAGTGCTTGACTGGTGGTCGTGTGCTATTAGTCGGTCGAGAGTTGTCAGGTGGTCGGCCGCTCGGAACCATATCGCTTGCATCCGGTTGTGCGCGTCGTGTCTCGGGGTAGCGTGCATCTGCCCGTCCCCTTCGAGTTGCCACAAGATGATCTTCTCGGCGTCGGGCCACTTCCATAGCCGCATGCATTGATTCTGGTCGCTCTAAGCGAACCTCCGCGGCTAGATCATACTTTAGCCCACCAATAAAGGTCCCAACAAACGCAGTCTCAGGCCAGCCTCGTACGCGACATGCCAATCGCTCGAACTCCTTAAGATAGTCGCGCAAGCTGCCGGTATGTCGTATGCGGGATAGCGCCTCATGGTAATTGTGGTAGTCGGATGAGCCAAAGCGCGTGAGTATCTCGCGTTCGAAATCGTTCCATCGGATGACTCGCTGTCGGCTTCGGTATACGCTAGTAAGCCACTGCCACCACACGTTGGCTTCTCCATCTAAGTAATAGGCAGCGTATC